AAAAAAAAGATGACATAGATAAAGCCCTTCGTAAGGTATGGGCTGTACTTGTCAGAACAATTTTCTGTATCTCCTTGAGGCATGGACTTCCAGGAATCCCTTCAATTAGTCTACTGGAATCTTTTCCAACCAGTCCTAGGGCTCCAACTACAACAAGGATTGTTGATGTTCCCATATGCCACATTTTCGCGATTTCTATTTCAAGGTCCTTGTACTTTGACAACTTTTTGAATATCTTCAAAGATACATTGCAGTCGGCAGGGACTGCCATATCAATAAGGAGGCACCGTTTTTGTTTGTGGTCTTTAATGACAATATCTGGGCGGTTGGCCTTGATTGTTCTGTCAGTGTGTATTGTGTAGTCCCATAGAATTGTAACAGGTCATATCTCCGTAACCGGGTCTGGGTGGTGTTCATACCAGTTTCTTTCAGTTTTCTTCCCGTAGAAGTTGCAGATTTTCCAGTGCAGATATTGGCCCACTCTGTCATGTCGGGTTTTATATTCAGTGGGTACCAACACCGTACCACCTGCTACAAGATGATCAATCGTTTCTGGATATTTATCACAGAATCTGCATTTTGGGCCGACACAATATTTTAGTATATGTGCTTGATAATTCCTAGTTAACAAGCATTGGTCCTGCGCAGCAAGGATAAAACCTTCAGTTTCCGCTTTCAACCCTGCACTACGTAGCCACTGATGGGTACGGGTTTTGTCTACGTCAGCTTGTTTGGTACGGGCAGAGTATTGGCGATGAAGCGGTTTATCTTGCCATCGCTTCTGTAACTGGTCTGTTGCATTCGTCTTAGCTATCTTTTTTAGGTATTTTGCAGTATTATTATCATTACTATTATTATTATTATTATTATTAGAAGAAGAAGAAGAAGGTGGCGGTGAAGAAGAAGAAGAAGAAGAAGAAGAAGAAGAAGAAGAAGAAACTGTATTCAGTAATAAAGGAATCCCCAAAAATTCAAAATGGAATTTCAACTAAGTGAAGAAGTGCAACAAGCAAAACATAAATGCACCTATTATTGAAGGGCCAAATAACCTAAAAAAACAAAGCAAATGCAATGGACCAGATACAGAAACGATGCCAAGGTAAACCTCTTCATGGTCAATATTCTGCCCGTACAAAACAAACTGATGTAGACAAACCCCCGTATCCATCAATGGCTACGTAGTACGGTGTTAAAAGGTGAAACCAAAGGTTTTATTCTAGCTTCACAGGACCAGTGTTTGCTAAAAAGAAATTATCAAGCACACACAGTGAAAAATCTTTTTGGTCCAAAATACAGATTCTGTCAAAAATATCCAGTTAAAGTGAAGCATTATCTTAAATGGAGGTACCGCTTGGGAACACCAGTTCTGGAAATGATATCGTCCCCTCCAAAATCTCTTTCGACTTTACAGAATAAGTGTTGATAAAACGTATGTATATATATATATATATATATATATATATATATACGTTGGATCAGCACTTATATTATATATATATATATATATATATATATATATATATATATATATATATATATATATATATGTGTGTGTGTGTGTGTGTGTGTGTGTGTGTGTGTGTGTGTGTGTGTGTGTGTAAAAATCTCCGTGGACAAATAATCCAAGTGAATCCTAATTATAAAAATATTAAAACTGATCCACAAAAAGAGATCGATTTATTTATTATAGAGCATATATAGATAATTTACATTTAATGAAACTCAATAAACCATAGGAATGGCTATTTCACTTCCTAAGAAAAAATTCCTTACCGAGGCTTTTCTACACAAAAATGTTTTTTAAGATAAAAAAATTTCAAAAGAAAGCTTGTAGATTTAATAAGTTTAAAGAAGCGGGAAACTAAAATCAAAAAGTAAGAGAAGAAAAAGTAAGAGGACAAGAAGAGAAAAAGGAAGAGAAAAAAAAAGAGAAAAAGGAAGAGAAAAAAAAAGAGAAAAAAGTTAAGAGAAATAATAATAATAATAATAATAATAATAATGGAAAACAATTAAAATGGAGGAAAGAAAAAATAAAAAATGATTGAGAGAGAAAAAAGAGAAAGAGAAAAACAAAGTGAGAGAGAACAAGGGGAGAAAAAAAGAAAAAAAATCAAATAGAGAAAGAAAGAGGAACATGTCTAGACAACATCATCACAGTTGGAAATCTGACATCAATTAAAATTACCTTCACCTATATTTAACATATTAATATCTTTTCTTAATAAGCGAAAATTACACAAGGAAATTTCAAACGATAGTTTTTCTTCAAAACATTTTAAATTATAAATTATAAAGAAGGGTAAGAAAAGAAATAAACACATTAATCTAATAAGATAATTAAAAATATTATGGAAATCTAAGGGCAAGTATGTAGTAAATATGAAAAGAAATATTAATGTAAAAATATTAAAAAATGAATTAATAGGTAAAATTAATAACAAATATTTACAAGAAAAATTTATATCCTAATAAGAATAAACAAATAAATTGAAACATAAGTAAAATAAGAACAGTTTAATATTAATTAAAGATTAAGATGAAAAAGAAAAAATAATTTTAAATTATCATTTAAAGTTAACTATTAATATAAAACTAAATAAGAAAAAATTGATAAGAGACAACAACTTATAAAAAACGGTTAACTATTAAATTAATAAAGTTAACTAATTAAATATGGACTATTAAATTAAATCGTGATTTAATGTATTAAAAATGACATAAAAAATAAAGTCCATAAAAAAATACATAAAAACTCGTATTGCGATTTTTAAGAGTAAGACCGGAAATAAATTCAATTGTCTCAGCAGATCCAACGACCTAATATCATAAAGTGCTTTTTTTTTTCGTTTTGGTATATATATATATATATATATATAATAAAAACTGTGCAATCTCCACAAATATCCTTAAGTGTCTATAATTGGTAACAGAAGCCATTGGTTTATACCAACGGCTTCCTATCCTTTATACTTCTCGTTTTCAATCTCACGTGATCATGTGTGACGTCATGAGCTGCGGTGCGATTTTCGCTTCCAGCGTCTTATATGCACGAGTTTGTCGTTGCTTGGAAATCATCCATGTAAACAGAAACAGACTATCATCACTGATTTGTCCGTGTATTGCTTAATATATTGTACAGTAATTGTCATCTTTGATAACGGCTTATGTAAGCCGAAAGCTTAGATTGGATTAAAAAATATGTGATTTTCTTTCTTCGTTTAATGATAATGTTATTAAGCTTATCAGACGTTATGAAAAGAATTTACATAAAATAAATTGACAACACTTGTCTATATTATTTAATGAAACATATATATATATATATATATATATATATATATATATATATATATATATATATATATAAAGGGAAGAGGCTATAGTTGTTCTAACGAGAGAAAAGTGAATATATTAAAAGAAGAGAGAAACCAAAACGTTTTTGGGTTGTAACGTGAACTTAAAAAAAAAAGAAATATATATTATGCCTTATATTTTGAAAAAATGCACATTACAACCAAAAACGTTTGTGGTTTCTCTCTTCTTTTATATATATATATATATATATATATATATGTGTGTGTGTGTGTGTGTGTGTGTGTGAAAGTACACATTGGAATTCTTCACCCAGAGGCGACAGTCATACTAATTGCGTTTAACATGAAATAGACAGTCGCCACTGGCTGTTGACATCTACTAGTAGAAAATACAAGCATTATAATCTCATCCACGTAAAAAAGATTAACAAATAATGGTAGCCTTAATAAGAAGAAAGGAAAAGCCAACACTTGATAATATTAACTACAAACCCGGCTACAATATGCGAATTGTGTTCGGAAAATAAAACACCTCTATAACTCTAGAAACATACACACAACCCATACATCCAATTAAAAAGCTAAAATAAGATCATCCTTGATAATGGCTAAAAGTATAGCTGAAAGCGCTCGAAATTACAGAACATTTTGACAGTTTCTACACAAGAAAACACTTGTTTGAACAGAAGAAAAATTAAATAAAAAACATAATCGTAAATAAAATTAAAAAGAAAGATCTAATTGTAAACTGGAAAATTTAAAAAAAAAAAAAAACCTTACAACAATCATAGCAACATCTACAACCTTTGTCAACGAGAGAAATTTACAATAATACCATTTTCAGACAAAATAAATAAATAAATAACCCAGAGATCCTAAATTATGCCCCGTTGTATTCATACTAAAAAGTTTCTTTTGAATTCATTTGAGGTGGAAAAAAGTGAAAAAAAAAAACATATGTATAAGTTATTTAATCCCCGCCACCGATACATTTCAAATACACTTGACTTTCCTCTCCTCCTACTCCTCAACTTATACCACACCTCATGTAGTGCGCGTATTCATTTAAATAATGTTCTTAAATTTCTGTTTTTAAAAGAATAAGTCGTTAGGAAATTGTTATAGTGGAACACACCTATTCTATAGTTAATAGACTCTCCCACCTATAATAAGTAGGAGTAGTAAGAGTAACAAGTCAGTCGCTCAGTGGGTCGGTCAGTCAGTCGATGTCGGACGATCGTTAGTCGGATACTAAAAGTATCAGCGACCACAACTAGATTTACTCCGCGTCATTACCTATTATATCAAGTTCCAATCTTTTTGTACGTCGAACCTAATTTAGGACCGACTTAGTACAAATACAAGCCTCCACTGTGAAATCACTCTACAACACACTTGGCGACGAGGATGAGATCCGAACTCACGCGGGGAGACTCCCCCCCCCCGTGAATTGAAGGAACCACCACTATCTGCCGCGTTATGAATTTCTGACCCGAACAGAGATTTCGATCCTTCAATACGATCCGGAGGTTGGATGAATTAAATGGCTGGGTATTACGCTAAAAGGAACTCACTATTTGTTATAGGTGGGAGAGTCTATTAACTATAGAATAGGTGTGTTCCACTATAACAGAAATCATCTGTTCGAAATCGCCTGAAGATATCGAAAGGTTGAAACCAAGGTAGTGGAATCGGCTGATCTCCTAATTCTCTCTCTCTCACTATCTATCTATCTATCTATCTATCTATCTATCTGTATATATACTTATTTCTTCCTCACCAGTAGCACAGCTAATTGAAAACTGACAATTTGCAATCAGCTTCTGAGGATTGCCCCGTGCATAAAATTCCTAGTTGTTTTACCTTTTAGAAAAAAAAAAAAAATATTATCACTCAATGTACTATATATATATATATATATATATATATATATATATATATATATATATATATATATCCCCGTGATATTTTGAGCCTTCGATCCTCTGCGACTTAGAGAATTAAGTGTTGTGGAGTATTTTTCACAGTGGAGGCTTGTATTTCTAATAAGTCGTCCTAAATTAGGTCCGACGTACAAAACGTTAGGAACTTGGAAAATAAGAGTCAATGACGCAGCAATCTATTTGTGATGGTTGGTGCTTCAAATGTCCGAATCTCGACTGACGCGCTCAACACCATTCTGCCAGACTTGCCACTGCTACTCTTACTTATTATCTATGGGAGAGTCCATTACAATAGAATAGGTACCTAACATTAAATGATGAGGATTTATGCCTTTCCTAAGGGTGTTAGTGCTACGTGAACCAAGGTAGTCTCAGTTGTCTGGTGCTGACAAAGCAGACATGGACAGAGATATTTTACACGCGGTTATAGTGCAAAGTGTACAAAGGTACACTCGACTGATAGTTTTTCTTTTTCAAAATCTCGCAATCTCTATTCTTCATCAGTAATAATAATATTCCTGTTCATTATTGTTAACATAGAATCCATTGCCGTCTCTCCAACCCGTTTTGTCTTTAGATCTTTTTTTCACCCATGTCCATTTTCTCTTGCTGAACTGGAAATCTTTGAATGAAGACAAATCAGCCCCAGCAGTGACGTTGTACTCTTTTCTGTATTTTTAAATATATTTTCTTTATTTTTTCCTCTAATTCATACAACGTTTTCGTGACGAAATGTCAAAGAATACCTGTGGCAATGACAACTACAACAAATCCAAGAAACACGCGAAGATGTCATTTGGAACGTGATCAACAATCGTCTTACTTTATTCTTTATGGACGTGTCTTGTGTCTGAAGTAGTTGCCAAATTCCCCAAGAGCCGAAATGAACAATATTCGAGTCATGTTAATTTTGTATATTTTTATTCTTAAGCGTTTTAAACGTTTGGCGCAATAAAATCTACTGGTAGGATAACGCTAATGCGGGTAACACTAATGTATGTCCCAAGAGCCACTCAAGGGAGATGGTTACTAAATGAAGATATTACCTAGGAATGAAAGCAGTCGTATTCTGTGAGTCGGTAACATCATGTCTGAGTGGGAAACCAAACACAAAGACAATCTGCCTCGTTTGAAAAGACACAAACCACCATTGAAAGAAGTGGAGATATCACTAAAGAACCCAAGAGTCACTCAAGGTAGAGTTTTATTAAATGAAATTCTTGTCTAGGAATGAAAGCAGTAGTACTCTTTGAGCCGGTAACATCATGCCTGCGTGGACATTCCAGACACCGAGGCACACCCACTCGTTTGGTTGGTTGTTTTGTTTTATGGCATAGCAACCTTTTTGAAATAGATTCATAGCGATAGTTTGGAGAAAAAGTATACATATATGTATACATATATATTTGACCCTTTTTTCCATTACTCATATTTTTTAGTACAATCCAATTTCTTAAGAATGTATAGCTGTTTGTATTACTGGTATAAGAATAAGAATAACTTTTCCTTCAAAAATTATTGCTAGTAATAATTTTTTTTATTACAAATTATTTTTGGTATTAAAACCTATTTTTACACAAGTATGGGTGTTAACTATTTGCCCATAGCTGGGACCCTTAACAGGTGCTACCAGCCCGGGTCAGGGTGGACCTGGGAACATCAGTAATTAACACGCTCCTGAAAACATCCTGATCAGAGGCCATTCTGTTGGACGTATTTTATTGTCATACCCAGGACGCGGATGTAGTTTATCGTCTTACCCAGGACGCGGATGTAGTTTATCGTCTTACCCAGGACGCGGATGCAGTTTATCGTCATAGCCAGGAAGGTCTCGCTCGTTTGGAAGCAGTAATGCGCATATTAGGCAGAAGGTGCTTCGACGTCAGCTCTAATTTACCTCTATTTCTGTTAGACTATTGCACTAAGGAAATACCTATAGGGCAATTAAGTGAAACAATATAATCACGACTGGAGGAATCAGCATTTAACTAACTGGGCGTTAGATTAAAATTTTGCCGTAAAGCCAAGATGAGAAAGAAATTGAGCTCCATATTTGTAGCAGAACAAATAAATCATAGAACAAAATACATTAATTCCATCCTCTCGTTAGATAAGCTAGTCTACAACTGTAGATTGGTTATATTGCAATTTAAACCTACCAACTACTACAATTGAATTTCATTTTTTTAAATTGTTGGCTAAGCTCTTCCTAATGCTAAAATCTCGCTGTATATTAATTTTTATGAGACTCTAAAAAATTCCATTCTGTTTATAGAATTCATTTGATTACGTGATAGTAGTTTGATGTGTTTAGAGTTATTTGAGGGTGTATTATATTCCTTTTGATTTATGTTAATATTTTTAATAGCTCATTTAATTTGTTCATCGGTGATGTAGACAGGAAAGCATTGTTAATGAGGGTTTGTTTAATATTTTATTGTTAATTTTTAATTCAGTATAGAAACTATTTTTATTAAAGAATTTGCTTTGCACGGTATATTAAGTTCCGTATAACAGCTATTTTCTAACAGGGCATTCACTTTCATAATTGATAGATGCCAGTGTTTATGCTGGTTGTTTTTTCATATGTGGGAATAGTAAATGAATTGTTGTTGGCATCTATCATACATCAAGGAACAGGATTGTATTGTTGTCGTTATGCTGGTGCTGCGTTTTTTCATGTATGTACGGAGTTTTTGAAAAATTATTTTGTAATCTGTTTATGTTTTTGACTAAAATGAGGATATTATCCACATTTCTTAGTTAAATGAAAGTGTTTCTTATGATTATTAAGTACGTTATTTTCTAGGTTAGTCATGTAGAAATTGCTAAATGTTGGTCATAGGAGGGAACCCATGGAAAGACCATAGCATTATATGTAAATGTTATTTTGATGGTCACTTTTGAAGGGAACTTCTGTGGTACACGTCAAGAGTAGTTTTCGCAAAATATTAGGAATAATTTTAATGGTTATATTTCAATTTTAAACCTACCAACAACTAAAATTGCATTTCACTTTTTTTTTTAAATTCTTGGCTTAGCGCCCCCCACCCCAGTGATAAAATCTCGCTGTGGCGAGATGTTTTAATTATCGACCCCGATGATATTTACAGGCGACGCGAGATTTGAAAAACGCGATCTTTCTCGGTTACTTTTCATAGCGAAACGACGTATTGTTTTGGCTCATGGAAAATGGAAAATGTGCTGACAATATATTGGTTAATATTTCTTTATTTATATTCTATGTCTTATTTTTCCTTTGGACTTTCACGAGTCCACCAAAATTGTTAGCGGGTCAGATGTATCAGGAGCTTAATTTTTTAAAGCATTTCACCCCAGGCAAGGCGGGAGTGCCACTAGCACGCAGAGGGTTTACAGCGAGTAAGGGCAAGAGTAAAGAGGGCTGTTTGAGGAAAGGATATACAGAAGGATGGGGATTGGGATCCAGGCATCAGAAGATATCGATTGTCATTAAATTTGAATATTTGAAGATTATGCCCAACAGGGAAGTATGTAATAGGAAGGGAGTTCCACTGTCGGGAAGTGCGAAAGAAGAAACTGTTGGAGTAGAAGAGGCGGTTACATTTAACTGTTTCGACAGTGAAAGGGTGGGACCGATATGGCAACCCAGTAGCACGCTTTAATTCATGCCGTTGGGGTATCAGCGAAAGTAGCTTGTCAGAGCAGTTGCCATGAAAATATTTGTAGAAAAGACAGAGGGAAGCCAGATCACGTCTGTGTGAAAGTGACTGAAGTCGAGATGCCAGAAAAAGTTTTTGACAGAAAAAAAGATTTCTATTAACTTATTTCACCTTTCTCGTCATTACGTTTAGCTCAATGTGTCACGGCGGCACGGTGTGCTTATGCATAGTGGAGCGTAAATGTTTAGAAACTTTTAATCGTTAGAACATCCACATAAATTTACGTCCAGATTCTTACTACGTTTCACCATTCTCAGCAGATTTTCTACGACCACAATACGGGATATTTAATAAGACATAAACATAAACAAATCGAAAAATAATTTAAATCAAATCAGCTCGCTAATGTACGCCAAACATAATAAATTAAAAACAAACATTCTCAGCGTCTTTCTAGCCTTCGTGCGCATGTGCAGTCGCATCAACTTAAACATCAATTTAGTCTCATGATGAAGTCCTAACCGACGAAATAAGTTCAAACTTAAATATAGAGATATATGATCAAACATAGATAAATACAGAGAGAGAGAGAGAGAGAGAGAGCTTTGAAGAGACTCAAATAAAGTTGTACAGATAGATAGATAGATAGATAGATAGATAGATAGATAGATATAAACAGACTGAGATAGATATGAACAGAATGAGATAGATAAATTGATAGATATAAAGCGAGATGCAAAGATAGTTATAAACAAAATGATACACACACACACACACACACCTATATATATATATATATATATATATATATATATATATATATATATATATATATATATATATGAATAATAAATTCAATGAAGTTGTGGAACGTAAAGCTAAATTTAAAAAATGCATTAACCCACTAAGCACTCGTTGAATGTTATAATACTTTTTTTAAAATTTATAAACTGTATTAGGTCTTACTTAAATATGCAAGTACTTTCGACGGGTCCTAACCCTAACCCTCTGGTCAACATCAGGCATGGAAATATTTTATTTTTGTAAGAATGCTTCATTGTAATATAAATTAAACTGCACCACATATTTCATTTAAAAGAACTGATCCGACGTGCTTATTTTCGGGATAACCATTGAGACATTACTTACTGAACTTTTTAGTTCATGCAACGTTGGTTGGTAAACTCCCACAAAAAAATTTCTTAAATTGCTTTA